AAAAAATCTTAGATGGCTAGACAAACAGTTTATTAATTGAAGGAATAAAAATGAATTTGTCAAACGCATTCTTTCTGGGACACAATGCACTTAATTAACATATTCGTGGGCTTGTTTCTGGATTTGGGAAGCAGTGGCCCCTTTCACAGAGGAAAACATTTAAATCTTAAAAAGTGACCTTCTTTAGTCCAAATACTATTTAGCAATTCAGCTTAATTTGTTCTTTTCTTCTCTTTCATTTCTTTTTTTCAGTTCCAGATATGTTTCATTTTTTTAAAGGACTCTTCCATTTCCAAAACTGATTTTCCTCTTTGCATGTTGAGAATCTTTCACTTAAGATAATCTTATTGTGTCCTATCAACAGACAGCAGAATATGTCGCTTTAATTACACTTTAATTATAACAGAGATGGAAATCTTCAGTGTCAGTAAAAAAATGGAAAATGGGTCCCACATTATATTGATGACACCCTAAAAAGTCAGTGTTAAGCGTTGTTGATCACAGGAAAAAGCACCACTGTTTAGGTTTATGTAACACCCACAAGTTTTAAAGGCTGTCTAGTGATACTGCTTTGCTATTGGAAAAGAGTTGTGTTTCATCCTCTAAAATGTAAAGATGTAAGTGTATTACTTTCTTACTAGTATCAATTTAATAGCGAAAGGAACAGCTCTGAAGCAAACGCAAACTCTTTGAGAAAATACTAGATCTTGGTCTTTAGAAATATTTTAAATTTAGGTAACATCTAAAACTGAGAATCACCTCACTTTCCAAAAGTTAAATACATCTACAAATAATATTAATTATAACTGATCTAAGAGACTTTCGCAAATACAGTTCTGATATGTGGAAAGTCATGATCTATGTAGTTCTAAATAATCTCTTAAATCCAAACTCTTAACAGACCCAGAGAGAAACAGTAGAGCATGTTTTCCTTCATATTCTGAATCTGTTTGTAGAGGGGAAGAGGACCAGTGTGGGGGCTGGAGCAGAGGAGGCTAGAGGAGGTAATGGGGAGTAAACATGAAGAAAGCAAGACCATGCTCTACATGCATGAATATACCACAACGAAACCCATTTACAGTACAATTAATATTTACTAATGAAAGTTAAAAATTCTCTTATGTCTAGTATATTAATTTTAGCTATTGAAAATCTTTTAAGATTTGACTTATTAGAAAAACATTGTTAGAAATTTTAGTTTGATTGTGTCTACAAAATAAAGGCTTACTTTATTCTGAAGAATAAATTTCAGGCTGCACTCATCTTTTTCAACACTAATGTTATATATAAAACAAATGTTTCTAAGGTTACTACTTTCAGGCTACTTGCTAGGCACTTGGTAAGCACTATAAGAAAAAAGTCATCAAGGAAGACTAACATGGCTCATTAAATGGAATCTTGCAAAAGCCATTAACAGATTTTCAACTGAAAACATAATTGAAAAGAATACTCTTTCATGAACTCTGAATCTATAATACATATGGGCGACGTGTGTAGAGTTTGCATCTACAAAGACACAGGAGCCACTTACTGCAACAAATAACAGGTTCAAATAACAAAACCAGGTTCAAAATACTTATTAAAATAATTAAAATAGTATAAATATATATAGTTTGTGTGATAAACTTTTCACAGTAAGGTGAAATCTTAGGTATCAAATTAATAAAACAACTTTTATACAAATTTTATCTGAAAATCTATGTGGATCATAAGAAATTGGATTTTTTCCAAAGGTTTCCAGCTAATGCATTTGGAAATAAGGTTATAGTTTTCAATAAAGTTTTATAATAAATGAGTTTCAATTCTTTGGTTTAGCAAATAAGTATAAGGGTAATTTAACATTTAAAATGATTCCTCAAAGTTCAAGAAGGTAGCTAAGGAAAGTATATAGTTTTAACTATGATAGAAATATTCACAATTATGCAGAAATATACCTTAGTTCCTATGCTTTATTATAGAAAAGAATCTTAAACTAGATATAATCTGTACAAATTGAAGGCAAATAAAGCTAGTTTAAAAAGGAGATAAATATGAACATGGATAATCTATGAACCAAATACAATTTTAAAATTTCCTTCATAGAATCTACTTGGTAAGTGATTACGGAAAAGCAAATTTGAAAAGTTGATGTCTGGGTTAGGGAGTAAAGAAAATGATAAGAAGATATATTGCTCAGAGAGTGAAAATACATTTTCCCATTATAGTAGGGTTAGAGGTTACATCATAAAATACTTTATTTGAGTTTTTTGTGGTTTGCCTCAGATGATTAGTTTAGAGAAAATAGATGAGCCAATACCGTGTTAGACACCATTATGTGAAGAATATTCGAGACAATAGGCTTTTCATTCTTTCCTACAGGTACAAGATGTACATATTTGGGGAATATGGAATTGGATTTAAATACTAACATTAATATTGAAGCTCTTCTCTAGATATTCTGTCAGTCACATGGCAATATAATTTTGTATCACTAATTTAAAAAATGTACTTGAACTTTAGCAATTATGGCAATTATAAGTTTTACTCATTCTGAGATCTGAGGATTAGCATATTGAGCTTAGTGTTTTTATTCTATGTGTATATACAGTATGTGACTATATATATCTCATAAAGGACAAATACATTGTTTTTATTGTTATAGTCCTATACAGAAGAGTTCCTGGAACACACTGAATGTTCAGTAAACCTTTACTGCGTGAATAATTCACTACATATTTGAGTATATTGTCTGTTCTTCTTTTGTACTTGATTGATTATAGAAATACACCAAACATTGTATTTTAGACACAAAATAACAAAAAGTTCAGTATCTTGTACTTAAGATGAAATGTCTTATGTATTCCCAATATTTTCCTTATTTTTATGACCTACCATTATAGAATGTTAAAGACCAATTTTGAATAATTTGAATTCTAGTGTTAACATGTATGCATTTACATCTTTCACAAAATCTCTGCTGCAGATACTATTATTTATATAAAAACCTGTTATAAATTGTGCATCTTTTTTATTTTTTCTTCGCCACATCATCTACTCCCCCCCCCCTTTTTTTTTGGTAAATTTCAAAACTTCATATAAGTGACCTTTTTTTGGTCTTGAAAAGAGCAAGTATTTACCTCTATTTATTAGGTGCCACAGAATGAAGTATGGTATTTATCCTTTTTTACATACAAATTAATTCCATCACAAGAACTAAGCTCCAATGCATTAAAAATAAAATGAATGTATTTTTAAATAATTTAGTGCATTAAGGCTTGATTGAAGTGTTTGGAAGTAAGTTGCACATTGATTTGAACTCAAAATTACTCTACATTAGGAAGCAGAGTAGGAAGTAGACATTGAACTAATCTCCTTTGTATCAGGGTAAAGATAAAATATTCTGTACAGTTAAGATAAACAAAACAGTATACTGTTTGAAGATTGCTTTGATTTAATACTTTATAGTTATGTTAAGAGCATCATTAGAGGGCCAGAATTTATTATTATTATGTCCTCTTAAAATGTCATTTTACTAATGTGTGGTCACCATTTCTAAATATATTAAGATTAAAAGAGAATCCTCAATTTTGTACTTCTTTAGACTGCATTTTCTCCCTATCACAAGCTTTGGTAGACTCCCCATTAATGTAGATATCTCTCACAGCTTTTGAAACATTTGAATGTATTTACCAATAGATGCTTACATTGTGCTATATCTATTACTATTCTTTAGACTTTTAGCAATTACTTTTGAAATAGAAAAAGAGCAGCTGCATTACCTTTCCTGAACACTTTTAAACTTAAATTATTATATTCCCTGGGGAGTTCCTAGAACTTGGGGTCTTCTAGCATTGAGTAAGTGCATTTTTCAGACCATATCATATCGTTAATTTCTAATAAGCCCTTTGTACCTCTAAGTAATTAACCAAAAGCCTTGAAGTTGTATGTCATTTAGACAATCTATCCATTATTCCCATTTCATGGTAAAATGACTGAGCACTTCTTGATTAATATCAATAGTGGGTGTACATGAAGAAAGGAATAGGGAGAAGGACTTTTTTTTTTTTTTTAGCTAAAATCTACTCAGTATCCAGCTAATTAATCTGCTCACATTGGTCTGATCTATTTGTGTATCAGAGCTCCCATAGTTCTCCCACTTAAATGACATCACATTTGCAATAGTAAATCTGGAGAAACAGATCAGAGGAATCCTCAATCAAAATTGGGCACCACACTCTAGTGTTATCCTTTGGTGACAGGCTAGAACGTGGGTTCCTTCGTCCTATAGCTGAATTTTCCGGATCACTCCATTAGGTTGGAGGCTAACGCCTCCTCTCATTTGTATACCTACCAAGCTGTGATGCAGTCTTGGGGCTCCCGCTCAGAGTATAACCCAAACACAAGCTTTTAACCTGTCTGCTGCACTTTCATTTGTCACGGGGGCCAAGGTGGTGCGTAAGTGGCCGGTAGATAGGGTAACACTTCCACTGGGTGAACTTTGGGAGGAATCCAGTACGTGAATTTAATGGGAGGTGAAGCTGCCGCAGTACTGGGAAGTTAGAGCGGCCAACTGCAGGAAGCCATGCTTCATTACACCCTTCATGGAAGCTGGCACCCTCTCCCAACCATTGTTACCCGCGGGCCAGTTCTCCAGGCACAGGCCTTCAGGTAGGTTCCCCGTGCCACGAGACGCCCCTCAGCGACTCTGGCCCCCGCCCCGCGCGCGGCCTCTCCCCCCCGACGCGCGCCCCGGGCCCGCGAGGCGAGAGCGGCCCAACGTCCAGGCCCGCGCGCGCCCCTGAGCCCTCCGGGAGACTCACTCCGGCCGCGCCGAGCAGCCGGCTCCGCTGGTCCCCCACCTCCGCACACCTCGGCGCCGCCGCCGAGCGGTGCGGGGGGAGGGGAAAGCCTGGAGGTAGGCAGGAGCCTGGGGACGCGGCGGCGCGCACGCAGGCCTCGCCTCTCCGGGCCGCCTCCCTACGCCGGCCGCAGGGCGGGCCGACGCGCACGCCGGGTGACGCTCCGAGGAGGAAGCGCAGCCCTTTCCCCTCCCTCGCCGCCCCGGGCCCAGCGGGAGCCCCCCAGTGCGCCTGTGCGGAGGCCTGCTTGATTATGTGTGCCCTCCTCGGGCGGCGGCGTTAGCGGCCGGGTGGAGGTGGGGAGGGAGGACGCCGCGGAGGAGGAGGAGGAGGAGGAGGAGGCGGTGGCGGGGAGGTGGGGGGAGTCAGCAAGGACATGGCTCCTGACTCCTGTGCGGAACGTGAGTGACTGAGCGGCAAAGCCCGAGTGAGCGAGCGGCCGAGCTGGCGGGCGGGCGGGGATGGGGACCGGGCCGGGCGGGCGGGCGGACCAGGGGGCTGCGTGTGGGGAGCTCTCGCTGGCTTGCTTGTGTTTGTTAATGGTCCCCCCAACTCCCTCTTAGATGGTCTCTAGCGACCGGCCCGTGTCACTGGAGGACGAGGTCTCCCATAGTATGAAGGAAATGATTGGAGGCTGTTGCGTTTGCTCAGACGAGAGAGGCTGGGCCGAGAACCCGCTGGTTTATTGCGACGGGCACGGCTGCAGCGTCGCGGTGCATCAAGGTAAACACTCAACCGCCCGCCGGGCCGAACCGGCCTGCTCCCAACCGTCACTGCCCCCCCCCCCCTCGGCGGCAACTGCCACCGCCGCCCCTCCCCCGGCCCGCCGCCCCGCCCCGTGCGCAGGCCGCGGGAGCCCGGCGTGGTCGCCGCGGGCGCGGGCCGTGCCTCGCCTCGGCCTGTGGGAGAAAGTGCGTGTGGCCCGGGCTGTCATGTGATTCGGCGCTCACTCAAGTGTCATTTGGTGGCTGCCTGCGGCCGCCGTGTCAGCGCCTGGGTATGGGAGGAGCGTGCGACCCGCGCTGGAGTCCCCATGACGGTGTGGTGGCTTTGGGGACCCGAAGCTTGCTCCCCTCCTCTCTCCTGCCAGCTCCCTTTGCCTCAGTGTGTGGGGCAACCTGGCTTTTCAGTTGAGGGAGAGAGGGTCCTGCTGCACCCCAAGTTCTTTGGTGGAGACCCTGCCGCTGCCACAGGCCTCTGGGTGCTTCTGCGGAGACAGTGGAAGGCGCCCCTGTGATGGAGTGTCTGGACTGAGCTGACTTGGGCTGGTCAGTGGCTGCAGCACAGCCTGTATGTCTCCAGAGAAGAGACTTGGGAGTCTTGAGTTAATTTTTGGGTATTATCATTAGAATGCTTTGGATAAATCCCCACCCCAAAACAAAAACTGGGGACCTCTTTAGGATATCTTCCGGGTTATTGAAGTTTCCAACTGTCCATTCCGAGTGGTGAGGGGATCCAGATGAAGGACTAGATGTGGCAATCAGCCTACCCAGCCTTCCTATTGCTAAGGCTAACTGACTGGCGGAAGTTTCTGTGTAGACAGGGTCGTTCTATGTAGGCGCCAGGTAGGACCATGCAGCAATCCCCTTCCATTAGCCCTCGAGTACAGAAATTATAGGTGTGCGCCTAAAGAAGTTGTTTTGTGATGTAATGGGAGGTGCCCTACCAAAGGGGAGAGAAGTAAATTGGACATAAGATGCCAAAGTGCAACTTTCATTTTAGTTTTTATTTTTTTGAGACAGGGTCTCATCGAGATGACTCTTACTGATCTGGAATTCAGTTAATTATGTATGTAGCCCAGGTTGGCCTGAAGACCCAGCTTCTGCTTCCAGGGTGCTGCGATTAAAGGCCATAGCCATCACACCCGGACTTTTTGAGTCTCCAGTAGCCCAGGCTGACCTCGAATTCCCCCATCCTCGTGCTTCTGCCTTGCCTGTTTGAGGATTTCAGACATGCACTACTGTTCCTGGGTTACACTGCCCGGAGGATGAAACCTAGGGTGGTAGGCAAGCATTCTTTAACTTGAGCCAAATTCCAGCCCCAAATAACCCCTCCCCCTAGACGTTTTCTCTGTGTAACTGGTTGTCCAGGAACTAGATCAGACTGGTCTGAAACGAGCAGAGATTCACCTTCCTTCCTCTGCCGCCACGGGCTGGGATTAAAAGGCAAGCAACACCCAGTACAAAGTTAATACTTTGAAGGCTGAGGCAGGAGGGTCTCTGAGTTTGAGGCCAACCTGCTCTACAGAGTAAGCTCCAGGGTAGCCAAACTGTTTCACAGAGAAATCTGTCTCAAAAAAAAAAATTATTACCATTGGGGAGGGCACATTTATGATATGACAAGTAATGATATTGAGAGAGTAATTTAAAAGAGATTTAACTGGTTTCTTTTTTTTTTTTTTTTTTTTGGTTTTTCGAGACAGGGTTTCTCTGTGGTTTTGGCTCGAACTCACAGAGATCCGCCTGCCTCTGCCTCCCTAGTGCTGGGATTAAAGGCGTGCGCCACCACCGCCCGGCCTTAACTGGTTTCTTTTAAAGGAGAAAGTTCCTTATTGCCCTTGATATCTAATTCTCAGTATTTGGCAAAGATAAGTGCAAAAAGGAATGAAAATTTATGTCAAACTTATATAATTTTTCTTCATTGGCATTTGTGTGTCTGTGTTAAGATCTTTAGTTGGGATTAAAAAATAATGGTTGTTAAGGCATCCTCATACATACATATATATATGTATGTATGTATCTTTTACTTTGCTCAAATATATTTTCCCAATACCTTTTCCCGTCTGCTTTTTTGTCTGGGGGCAGGGCATATCTCATGAATTGGATGACAAATTACTTTTGTTATGTAATCTTTGCTTGTCAATACAGAAAATGTACATCTTAATCTCTTCCCTGCTAGGGTGCTTCAAATAAATATGTTTGTACTCTGTGCTGTTTCTTTTTTCTTTTTTGATACAGGGTCTTTCATAGCTCAGGCTAGCCTCAAAGCTGGTATGCTGACGAGGCTTCTACCTTCCAAGTGCTGGAATTACAGATGCGTGCTCTCACCACCCAGCCACTGATGGTGTTGTTTCTTTACTTAGACATCTTTACACAGGTTAAGAAGAGCTTAACTGAGGCATGGTGATTGATGTCTGTGCTCAGCTCTTGCAGGGTCAGGCAGGAGGATCCTTCTGAATTTAAGGACAGCCTAGACTATTCAATTATGCTTGTGAAGCATATAGTTCAGTTGAAGTAAGTAGGTATCATACACAAGGCCCTGGGTGTCAACTCTAGTGTGGAATAAGTTTGGCATGATGGTACATGCCAGTAATCCCGGTTCTTGGTAGAGTCAGAATCGCAAGTCCAACCTAGGGATTGCATAGCAAGTTTGAGGCCAACCTGTGCTGTTTGGCACTCTTGTCTCAAAAATAAAAAGTTTAGCTTTTGGTATCTAAAAAGTTGCTGTTGGTTTTATTTTATTGTTTCCCAATATTTTAAGACATTTTCTGCTGTGTTAAATGGGAGATGAATGTATTTATAAATTCTCAGAAAAATTTAAAATCTTAACGAATTAAAAATGAACATTAAACTGGGTGGTGATGGTGGTGCCCGACTTTAATCCCAGCACTTGTGTGGTGGAGGCAGGAGGGTCTCTGAGTTCAAGGCCAACCTGGCCTATGGGGTGAGTTCTAGGACAGGCTCCAAAGCTACAGAGAAACCCTGTCTCGAAAAACAAAACAAAACAAACAAAAAAAAAAAAGGAAGAAGAAGATTAAAGATTAAAACCTAAAACCAACTTTTCAGCTAGTGAATTGGCACCTGTCACCAAACCTGACCAGTGTGATCCCCACTACTCATGGTGGAAGGAGAGATCCAACTGCTGAAAGTTGTCCTTTGACCTCTACTACTTACCGGCACACTGTCTTTCCCCACAGCATAAATAATAAATTTTAGAAACATTTTTTTTTAATTGCTAAACAAAACAAATCAAACATTTTCTTTTCCTCTTGTGTTTTCATGCTGAGGGTCAGACCCAGGACTTTGTTCATGCTAGAGAAGTTTTTTTTTTTTTTTTTAAAAAAACTTCCAGCTGCTCTAGTAGCCCCATTCCTTGGATTTTATAGATAGAATCTCACTATGTAACCAGTTTGGCTGAATTTGAGGTCCTTGTGTTTCACTTTCCTGACTGCTGGGATTACAATTGTGTGCTACCATGCCCAGTTTGAAACAACTCCTCCCTCTTTATAACACAAGGAGGCTGGGCCAGTGTGTGGTGTAAGGCACTTGTTGCCAAGCCTTGAAATCAATTGTTGGACTCATAGTGGAAGGTTCCTGGAAGTTGACATACACATTGTATATGTGAAGTTCACATACGCAATAAATGTAATATAGAAATATTTTTTAAAAATGAGGCTATGAATTAGGTATGTGAAACCGAGAATACTTGGGATGCAAATTTTACAAAGTTTCTCTCTTTTTTTTTTTTTTAATAACGATTGTATTGAGGTAGTTAACATCCTGTGCTGTTCACCTGTTTGGAGTATGGAGCGGTTTTTGGTATATTTGTAGAATTGTGCAGACACTACCACAGTTTAAGATCCTTTTAATCGCCCTAATGAAAATCTTGGACCCATTAGAAGTCACTTCCCCTTTATATCTGATTCTCATATACCTAGGTAACCACAACTTTTGTTTATTAATTTGCCTTTTTTGGATATTTCACATAATTTTTTGGGGGGGGGTGTTTGAGACAGGATTTCTCTGGGTAACAGCCCTAGCTGTCCTGGAACTAGCTCTTGTAGACCAGGCTTGCGCCAAACTTGCAGAGATCCTCCTGCCTCTGTCTCCTGAGTGCTGGGATTAAAGGTGTGCACCACCACCGTCCAGCTCACATAATTTATAAGTGCTGAGGATTAGACCCAGGTCCTTGAACATGCTGTGCAAAGTGCTCTATCACAAACTGTCACTTTAGTATCGAATAACCTGGCTGGCTTTGAATTTGCTGTGTGGTTGAGGTTGCCTTCCGTTGTTTTCTGAGTGCTGCCTTACAGGCTTACTCCACTAAGCATGGCTTTCCATGGTGCAGAGATGAAGCCAGGACTTCATGCATGCTGTGTGTGCTATACTCTGTTCTCTAAGCTATAGCCCTAGCAACCCACAAAGTATTCCACTTCAGCATATTTTGTTTTGTAGCTGTTGTTCGTCTTGGTCTTATTTTTTGTTCTTAATCTCTATTGTTGTTGTTTATTTGTATGCTTATAGCCTCAGCACTTTAAGAGGCTGAGGCCGGATATAGTCAGTGAAATCCTCTCACAGCAACAGAAACACCTGGTACTTAAACTGTAGGGTAAGGAATGATCAGTGAGTTTCTGATGTATTTTGTACATCACCTACAAGAGAAAAGCCCAACGTTTATAGCATTTTGACTTAATTTGAAATAGTTTCTATCTAGTTCAGATTGACTTGACACTTAACAGTCCTTGGTTTAGCCTCTAGAGTTGTGTGATTACACTTGTGCACGGTCACACTAAACACTTTAGACTTTAGTGGAAATAACACAGATTGTTAAATTTTAAAATTTTATGTTAAGCTAGGTGGTGGTGATGCATGCCTTTATCCCATACTAGGGAGGCATAGGCAGGCAGATCTCTGAGTTAGAGGCTAGTCTGGTTTACAAGAAATAGTTCCAGGACAGCTTCAAAAACTATAGAGAAACCTTGTCTCGAAAAACAAAAACAAAACAAAAACCCCCAAAAAACAACAACAAAAAAATTGTTATAATTAGTTTTCAAATGTAAATATTTTGTTTTCCCACAGCTTGCTATGGCATTGTTCAAGTACCTACTGGACCATGGTTTTGCAGGAAATGTGAATCTCAGGAGAGAGCAGCCAGAGTGGTAAGGACTGTTTATCAAAAAAATTTACAAAAAACCTTAAGTTTAGGATGCCAAATATTAAATATTGACTTTGAAATTTTAAACGGATTTTTGTAAAATCTGAAAAGGTGTGTGTGTGAGAGAGAGAGAGAGAGAGAGAGAGAGAGAGCGCGAGAGCGAGAGAGAGGGGGGTACTTTGAAAACCAGAGATAAGATGTTCTATTCAGGAGCTGAGAACTATGCACCTCCGAGCTGTGTCTTCAGCACTCTACCCAGAGTCTCTTTGCTAGTGCTGACTTGTGGTGTTTCTGCTTGGTTTACTAACTGTGTGGGGGAACGTAGGTCTTTAGTTACTGTCATTTTACTATATTTGTGGTATGAAGCTTATTTTTCAGTACTTTTTGTTTTCAAATTGTAACAACTTTGACAAAGCAGTAGAGTTTTTGTTTGTTTTGTTTTTGTTTTTAACATAATTGCTCACTTTCTTTGTGAGCACTTTTGTGACTTTGGGAAATGAGGGAGATTTGGCCCGAAGTTAGAAAATAGGCATTTTAACTTATTGTCATAAGCATATAACAAAAGTAGAAGTTTTACTTTTGCCTTGGGTAGTAAACCTCAACTGATAGTGAGAATGCATTATAGCTAATTATTGTAGTGTTAAATAAATAAATAAAATAGCGGGATTGCAGGATGAAATCAGTCATGCAAATTTCAAGACTTAGAGAATGTAGGTCAGTTGGCCGATGTTTGCTTCGTGTGCATGAGAGCCCTTGGCTCCACACCAGCACTGCATGGGAGTGGGTGTGGTATAGTATACACCTGTCATCCCAGTGCTCAAGAAGTAGAGGAAGGAAGGAGATCAGAAGTTAATAGTCTTCCTTGGCTACATAGTGAGTTCTAGTTTGAGACTAATCTGGGTTTCATAAAACCCTGTCTCAAAAAAAGATGTGCATGTTTAAGACTTGAAATGGAAAGTTGGACTGGAGAGATGGCTCAGTGGTTAAGAGCATTGCCTATTCTTCCAAAGGTCCTGAGTTCAATTCCCAGCAACCACATGGTAGCTCACAAACATCTGTAATGAGGTCTGGTGCCCTCTTCAGGCATGCACGCAGACAGAATATTGTATGCATAATAAATAAATAAATAAAAAAAAGAAATATGGAAAGTCTACTACTTGTTGACTTTTTCCATGTGTAGGGTGTTAGCTTGAATTACCAGAATTATCAGTAAACACTAACAGCAGAGTGAAGAGGACAAGATAGGAGTATTAAATACAGTAAAGACAAAAAGTACTGGTTGGGGTGTGGTGGAATGCCTCAAATACCAGTTTGTTTTTATACCTTTATTTTATGTGAGTGGCCAAAATGCCAAGGGAAATATGGTAGCTATATTAAGAAGTGAAAAAAGCAGATCATTTTTTATTTAAGGATACAGGTACCAAGAGCATTAATATGAACGGTAACTTGAACTAGTCCTGTTACCTGTTCTGTAGTATCTTCTTCTTTATCTTTGTGAAAATTGTCTCTACTACTTAGTAGTCCGAGTGTTTATGCACTAGATACTGTACTAAATGTTTTACACCAGTTACTTCGTTTATTTGTCAAATTCCTGAAGTAGTTCTCATTTTATGGATTAGAAAGATGTAGTTTTAAGGGAAATATACATATCAAGAATTGCAATCTAGGTAGCCATTAAGCTGTACCTTTTTATATTGACTTCTGTGGTGAGAGATGACTGTTTCCCAGCTCCTCTTTCACCTTTCCCTTCCCCCCCAGTCTCTTTTTGAGACAGGTCTTTTTTTTTTTTTAAATATTTATTTTATTTATTTATTATATATACAATATTCTGTCTGTGTGTATGCCTGCAGGCCAGAAGAGGGCACCAGACCTCATTACAGATGGTTGTGAGCCACCATGTGGTTGCCGGGAATTGAACTCAGGACCTTTGGAAGAGCAGGCAGTGTTCTTAACTACTGAGCCATCTCTCTCCAGCCCCCGAGACAGGTCTTAACATAATGTGGAGTCCAGGCTGGCTTGCCTCTTGAGTACTGAGATTGGTGAGGGCTGCATTACCTAGGCAGCTTACAGCTTAAAAAAATTGTTTGACTTAAAAAAAAAGTGTGTATGTGTGTATGAGAGAGGTTTTGTATATGCGTGTATGTGAATCTGTGCAACAGAGTGTGGACTAGAGGACAGCCATTGGATATCAGTTCCTACCCTCTCGACTTCTTTAAGATGATCTTGTGGAGCTTGGTGGCCATGACTTTAATCCCAACATTCAGGAGGCAGAGGCAGGTGGATGGATCTCTGTGTAGGTTCAGCCTGGTCAATACAGCAAATTCCAGGATAGTCAGGACTATGTAAATCTTGTTTCAAAAATGTCAAAATAAAAGAGAGGGAGAGACAGTCTCTTTCAATCCTCATAAGCAAGCTAGCTGGCCTGTGAGCTGTACCTCTTATCTTGGTAGAGGCTTGCTGGGCTTATAGGTCATTGCACTACTGAGTCTGCCTTTTTCATGGGTTCTGGGCATCTGAACTCAGGTGATCAGGGCTGGTGTGTGGTGCTGGTGGCTTTTATACACTGAGTTGTCTCTCCAGCCTGTACCTTCTGTACTAAGAGCCTAAATTCTCAATCTGAATCTAATATTCTTTTGCCTAAAATTGCCCTGGACTGGTTTGACTTGGATATGGTGCCTCTAGACCTCTTTAAGATCAAATTGCTCAGATGCACTTGGGGAATTCTGGATCAGAGACAGCTCATTTGCTAGAAGAGGAAGAGTTTGGAGCTGACTGTGAGTACTTTGACAGATAGGAATAATAATGATCCAGAAAGATAAAGCAACATTTTGAGAAAACTGTTTTTGTTTGTTAGTATGTAGTATTTACAAGGTGAAATTTGAAGTGAAAAGGTACAGAGGATGCTATCATAAAGATGTAGGACCTTAAAGGGAGGACATAGGAATCCACTGGGAGCGTCTTAAGAACAATAGGTGGCTCAGTGATAGCATGATCATTTACTCTTTACTATTAGGCATGGTGTATGCTTAGTGGGTAGAATGTGTGCTTCCAAGCTCAAGCTCAAGGCCTTACTTTTAATGCCTACAAGGAAACACAATTTTCAGAGTAATAGTAACAGAAGAAGAGGAGGAAACAGAAAAGAAGAGAACAAATGAAAAACAGGACTAGTGATATGGCTCAGTGGATAAGGGAACTTGACACCAAGATAGACAACCTAAATTTTGTTCCTGGGAACATACATGTGGGTAGGACAGAACTAATGCTGCAAATTGTTGGCTGACCTCCACGCACACTCCAAGTCATACCCTCCAAACAAAACAACAAAAACCAAAACCAAATAAATGTAAATAAATAAAAAGACCTGGAGTTTTTATCATGGTGAAACATGCCTGTAATCTCAGCATTCTAGAAGTAGGGAGAAGGTTTTGAGTTGGAGCGTAGCTTGGGCTGCTGTCTAAAAAACCAAACCAAATCAAAACAAAAAATCAAATATGGTGACTTATGCCAGCACTTGGGAGGCTGAGGAAGGAGGATTGCCTTGAGTTCGAGGCCAGCCTGGGTTGCATAGTGGTTTCTAGGCCAGACTGGTCTCTGTAGAGTAAGACCCTGATTCAAAACAACAACAATAAAGCCTCCCCCCACAAAAAACATAAGACCCCAATCAGGCAATAACAAATAACCAAAACATAAAAACAAAACTCTCTCATTGAGAACTGAACATGAGGGTCCCATGCAGCTCAAACACCTAATCTCCAGCCACAGGGCCATTGCAGTTTTGTTTCCATTGATGACTAAGCCATCTCTCTAGCTTCCTAAGGTAAAAATAATTTCTGTTATTGGAACAAGGTCTCACGTAGCACAGGCTGACTGAAAACTCATTGTATAACTGAGGATGACCTTGAACTTCTAAATTGTTCTTAAGTGCTGGGATTACAGGCCTGCACCTATGCCAGTTTTACAATTTAATTTTTATTTTCTTTTATATATGTGTTTGTGGCCTCTGTGGATTTGAACATTGGATCTCCTGGAGCTAAAAGTTATAGCTCATGAACCTGTATTGTGGATGCTGAGAACCAGACTCTGGTACATCACTAAGCCATTTCTCTAGCCCCTAATAGATTATTAATAGACAAGTTTATTTTCTGCACTCAGTTGTTGAGTCGCTGTTTCAAGCATTCTCCCAAAAGAAAAACAAATTAAAAGATTAAGTTTGTTTTTATTTTCTTCTCCACTGTCTCAATTAATTTTTACTAACTTACTCTCTTTTAGGCCATCCATGTTTCAGTGGTTACATTATCTAATGTGCTCCTCTTATGAGTATGTATAATTTGTATTGTTTTACAGGAGTAGTAGCTATGTGTAAGATTAAAAGATGATGGTGATTAAACCTAAGGCCTTGGACATACCAAGCAAACCCTTAACCAGTGAGCCAAAGCTGCAGCCCTGTGCATTCTGGACTTGAACTTTGGGCCCTTGATCCTCCTAAGTAGCTGTGACTATAGTCATAGTGATGCTGTACTTTGTTCTTTCTTCTTCTCTTGTTCTGGGATTGAACCCAGGTCCTAGCTATTTTACCCTTAAACTAAACTACATTCCCAGCCTGTTTGCCTTTACTTTGAAGTTATTTGGTGTCCATGTGTTTAGGGTTATTGTAATAAAGCTCTGCTAGTGTTTTTATAGTTAAGCATTTTGTGATTTTTGCTTTTGTGTGTTGTTTTGAATTCTGGGATAATAGCTATTTAGCTGGAAGTAAGATTTCATCCTAGTCTGCCTTCTGGGGTGTTTGAATAGACAGTTAAGAGCCTGTAGCCTGTAGCCTGTAGCCTGTAGCCTGTCGCCTGTCCTCTTCAGGCTTGGCTGCCTTTTTTTAATCCAAGGAGGAACATTCATTTACTTCAGAATATGCTTTTGTTTGTTCTAGTTTTGTGTGTGTGCTTCTATTATGGGAACTTGCTGTCTACATATTTATTTTTATGAGTTAAAAATTTTCAGTTCACCTTTAAT